GGACGGTCCCTTGACCGTCCATATCCCTTGTGATCCCTCGTGTCTCCTTGTTTTTCTCTGGCTCCTCGTGTTTTGTTTTTCTCTGGCTCCTCGTGTTTTGTTTTTCTCTGGCTCCCTCTTTCTCTGGCTCCTCGTGTTTTGTTTTTCTCTGGCTCCCTCTTTCTCTGGCTCCTCGTGTTTTGTTTTTCTCTGGCTCCTCGTTTTCTTGTCCCTTTTCTCTGGCTCCTCGTTTTCTTGTCCCTTTTCTCTGGCTCCTCGTTTTCTGGTTCCTCGTGTCCTCGTTTTCTTGTCCCTCTCTGGCTCCTCGTTTTCTTGTCCCTTTTCTCTGGCTCCTCGTTTTCTTGTCCCTTTTCTCTGGCTCCTCGTTTTCTTGTCCCTTTTCTCTGGCTCCTCATTTTCTGGCTCCTCGTGTCCTCGTTTTCTTGTCCCTCTCTGGCTCCTCGTTTTCTTGTCCCTTTTCTCTGGCTCCTCGTTTTCTGGTTCCTCGTGTCCTCGTTCTCTGGCTCCTCGTTCTCTGGTCCCTGGTGTTTTGTTTTCTCTGATCCTCGGTCCCTCCACCCTTGCAGTGCCACCCTCCACCCGCCCTAGTCCTTCGGGAGGGGGGTTTTTTGGGGACGCCTGGAGGCGTCTTTGGGGGGGGGGGTACTGTTAGGACGGTACTTTTCTGTGGCCCGGTGTGTCTGTTTCCCTCGTGCTCCTCATTAGTTCCATTGTTGCCACCTGTGTCTCGTCCCAGCTGTTTGTCATCATGTCTCGTCTTCTCCTTGTATTTAAGTCTCCCTATTCTGTCTTGTCCTTTGTCGGGTCGTCTTCGTTGGTACTCTCCCTTGGTCTCCTGAGTCTTGTCCTGTCTGTCCTGAGTCTTCCTGGTCCCTCGAGTTCCCCGTGTCTCTCTTGTCGCCTGAGTTCCTCGTGCCTTGTTCATGTAAGTTTTGCTGCCCCGTCAGCTTGTTTATTTTGTACTTTTATTTATCATTAAAACATATTTTTTGCATATCTGCCGAGTTGAGTCCCTGTTCTGCACTCTGGGTTCGCTGCTAACCGCAAACTACGACAGGTTCACCTTCAAATCCAGTTCAAAATACTCCTGTATGTCTACAAATCGCTGAACATCCCCCCCCCATCTCTCTGATTTGCTACAACTGTATGTCCCACCACGTTCCCTGAGGTCAGCGGACCAATTGCTCCTCACAGTTCCAGGAACTCGTCTTAAGCGCAGAGGTGACAGGGCCTTCTCTGTAGCAGGACCCAGACTTTGGAATGAGTTACCTCTGCTTGTCAGACTGGCCCCCTCTCTCTCGGTTTTCAAATCCCGTTTAAAACCCCACTACTATTCAGTAGCATTCAACACCAGAGGATCTGTGTTGTGAACCTGTACTCTCCACACTGGTCTGTCGTCATATTTATTATCTGCATTGTTTTTATGTCTATGTTTTTGATTTACTTCATTTTTTATATCACTTCATGTGTTATCTGTTGTTCTGTCTGTGTAGCACTTTGGTTGGCCTTGTAGCTGTTTTAAGTGCTCTATAAATAAAATGGTATGGTATTTGAATGTTTAATTGTGTAGGTAAAATTAGATGTTAAACAACCCATTAAAACACACCAGAATGCAAGAAATGGCATCTACTTTATTCAAAAATGTCTGGGGGAGGTCTCCCAGACTATTAGCCCCCCCCCCCCCCCCCCCCCCCACACACACACACACACACACCAGCGTCTCCCCCCCTCCACTTTTAAAATGATTCTAGCACCAATGGTCGCTGCATTGTTCAAGCCAAGCGCCATTTTCAGCACTGGGGGCTAAAGCGCCCCTCAAGGGCAGATGGTAGAATCACCCCTGATGTAAGGTTATAATTACATGATTTTTAATAATAATAGGTTGTGATCTAAAGTGGGCCACTGTGAGGCATGAAACTCCAGGGATGAAAATGAGTCCCTCTCCAGCCCTGGTATATACCATTTTAAGTCATACTTATTTATCAAGAATGTGTTAAAGGAAACTTTCAGGTATTCATACCATTGTTTGTCACAGTTAAGCAGATACAAATCCCTCAAGTTTAATCACCAGTATTGGCTAAACTATACATTGAACACTAGTTTTACAAAGTTTCTGCAAAGTATTTTTATTAACATTCCTTACAATTTCAATTAACAGATTTATTTATTTATATTCATTTTTTTTAATATATATTTTAAGATCTTGTATTGAAAGAGGTTATTTTAAAATGCAGCAAAATTCACTAATTTATTTCATGTTTTTTTTTTCACAGATTCTTCTTCAGTGCTGGAATCCAAAACAGTAAGTCAAAGTATAAGGTCTAGAAATAATACCAGAAAGAATAAACAAAATCACATTCTTGCATTTTGAATAATCTTTTTTATATATACACTTTTTTTTTCTTTTTTTTTTTTTAAACAGATCAGTGTTGACCTTCTGTTGGTGGCTTTTTACTTCCTTGGAAACATTTCCTTTTTGGTGGCTCTGTTGTGTGGAATAGGGTTGTCATAAATTTAACAAAGCCCAAAAGATTCATTACAAATTAGTGTCTTATCCTAAAATAATTTGATATTTTACAGAGGGACATGCTATGGTAAAAATATTCTGTTCTCTAGTAAAACCTCTTTGTTGAATCTTGTTGATGTTCTTGTTGACTTCCTGTTGTGGGTGGAGATGTACACAGGTGGGCACAATTGTTAATAAAAGGCCACAGGTTGCTCTGATGAGCTCTGCACTCAGGCCAAAAGACAAATGAACGCTGTGTTTTTTTTTTCGTCTGTTACTTACTGGCATTTCCAGCCCTTTAAAGATGGCAGCGTCAACAGGTTATGGGCCCAGGAAGGAGTTTGGAAGCCGATGGAACCGTTTATGTTTTGACAGAGATGAAAAGAACTATGAGCTGTGGGAAACTAAGTTTTTGGCCCTCTTGCGTTTGCTTGAGTTGAAGAGCACTATATTATTGAAGGATGAACCCGAGGACGCGGAAGAAGACGCCACCAAAAATGAAGAGGCATATGCAGAACTAATTCATGTCTTGGATGATAAGAGTCTCTCCCTTGTCATGAGAGATGCTGCGGATGGCGGCAGAAAAGCCTTAAAGATCCTCAGAGATCACAACGCTGGTATGGAAAGCCACAAGTGATCAGTTTGTACACGGAGTTGACGTCTCTTCAGAAAGGTGTTAATGAGAGCGTGACAGAATATATTATCCATGCAGAGAATGCTATCACAGCGTTGTGGAATGCAGGGGAAGTTTTAAGTGATGGCCTACTGACTGCAATGATTTTAAAAGGCCTGCCTGAAGTGTTTAAACCATTCTCTGTTTATGTTACGCAGAGTGATGAGGAGTTAACGTTTGCCCAATTGAAAATGAAACTGAGGAGCTATGAGAGCACAGAGAAGTTGTGTGTTGCTGGCTCAGCTGAAGATAGCGTGATGAAAGTTAAAGGAAGAGACAATTGGAGCACAAAACTCACCTGTTATAATTGCGGTCACAGAGGGCACAAAGCCCTGGAGTGTCCCAAAGCTGCAGACGAGCATAGAGAGCCCAAACAGTGGTGTCGTTTCTGCTAGAGCTCCATGCACAAGGACGCAAACTGCCAGTGGAAAAGCGAGGAGACAAGGTGAAGCAAGCAGTGGATGAAGAGGACAACACGTTCGCTTTAAAGGTGAAGCAGATGGACGATGCACAGATCTACAGCGTGAAGGTGAAGGGGCTCATGGTCGACTCGGGAGCACAAAGCACATTGTGACAGACGCTGAAAAATTCAAAGACTTTGACTCGAATTTTAAGCCTCAGAGCCATGTTTTGGAGTTGGCTGATAGAGTGAGGGCCAGTGGCATTGCGCTAAAGAAAAGCACCGCCAGAGTTCGCTTGAGAGACAGCAAGGGTCAAATTGTGGAGATGATGCTGATGGACACCTTATACGTGCCATCATTTTCACAGGACATCTTTTCAGTTAAAGCTGCAACTGCCCAAGGAGCGACAGTCATCTTCAAAGATGGACAGAATCGGCTCATCCATAAAAATGGTACGGCTTTTGACATTAATGTTTATGACAGATTGTTCTATTTAAATACTGTTACAGATGCGGTTGATGAATGCAATGCCTGCTACGACATTCAAACATGGCGTGCACACATACCTACACACATCATTGTGTCCCCCCCACATTACGGATGCTTCTGACGCCCTTCAATTGAACGCTGTGTTGTTTTTCCTCCGTTACTTACCGACATTTCCAGCCCTTTAAAGATGGCAGCGTCAACACTCTTGAACACATTTTAGGAACTGACAGCCATATTTGTTTGAGTTTTACAAAATATATAAATTATGCTCTAATCTAATAATCAGTGATGAACTGAGCTGGCCTTCAATAAATATATATATATGCAATTGCAACTACATGATATATGCTATCTTCAAAAAAGCTACAAAATTGTGGACCAATTAAATCATTTTACTTTCATTTTAACAACGGTGCATTCCCCTTCTTTATACATCAAGTAAAACATCTGACTTATGGTGTCAACCTTTTACAATAACTAACAACCAAAACAGAAACACCTACAGGGACAACCCATCTGAACAAATGACCTGAAGTAGTCAAGACTACGCAGCATGAAAAGTAGCTCACCCAGCCTCTTGCATACAATTTCAATAATTCACACTGAAAAATAACAGTAGCCCACAGAACTTCAAAGTCAAAGTCTCTTTATTTGTCAGTCCACCACATGTGGTACATGTGGTGGAATGAAATTGTGTACACAGGGTCCCAGTTACATCCAACAAAAGTATAAATTGTAAAGAAAAACAATAATAAGATCTAAGATATGAACCAAGAGGTACGCTAAACTAAGCACTAATATTATAAAAACAATATGCCGAACAGCAGCACAAACATGAGTCTGTGTTAGCAGATGAGTTTGAATGAATACATCAGCATGAAATAAATCAGCAGCATGGATAATCAGCAGGACCAATCAAAGTGGTATTACAGTGATTTTTTTTTCACAGTGATTATCTTGATTTGGGATTCATGAGTCTAACAGCCTCAGGGTAGAAGCTGTTCATCAGTCTAGTGGTTCTACACTTAATGCTTCTCAACCTCCTTTCTGAGGGGAGCGGGGCAAAGAGTGTGTGTGCCGGATGAGTGGGGTCCTTCTAGCAGTTGGTATGAGACCACATTATCTTTCGCAGGAGTTTTCACACGTTATTGTGATAATGGTGTATGTCCCGCCCTCTGCTAATGCTGCTGCAGCCTGCAACATCATTCATACCACCACCAGCAGACTTCAAACACAGCACCCACAGGCCCTCTTTCTGATCTCTGGGGACTTTAATCATGTTTCCCTGTCCTCCACTCTCCCTACCTTCACCCAGTATGTCACCTGCCACACCAGAAATACCAACAAACTGGATCTACTTTTTTCCAATACCAAGGAGGCATACAGTTCATCACCTCTGCCTCCCCTGGGGGGCTCAGATCACAATCTGGTTCATCTGCAGCCTGTGTATAAACCCATGGTGTGCAGAGAACCAGCTGTGATGAGCACAGTGAAGCAATGGACTGAGGAGACTGAAGAAGCTCTGAGGGACTGTTTCAGCTCCACTGTTTGGGAAGAGCTCTGTGCTCCTCATGGGGAGGACATTGACAGCATCACGGACTGCATCACTGGCTACATCAATTTCTGTGTGGACAACACTGTGCCCATCAGGACAGTACGGCGTTTCTCCAACAACAAACCATGGATTAACCCTGAAATAAAGGCTTTCCTGAAGGAGAAGAAGTGAACTTTTAGATCTGGTAACAAAGAGGAACTGAGAGCTGTGCAGAAAGAACTGAGAAGGAAGATTATGGATGGAAAAAACATCTACAGGAAAAATATGGAGGATCAGCTGAAGCAGAGCAACATCAGTGGGGTGTGGAGGAGCCTTAAAAACATATCAGGCCACAAATCAAGCCCCCAGGCTGTAGGAGACAAAGGGTGGGTGAATGACTTGAACCAGTTTTTTAACAGATTTGATCTGTCACCCACCCCTACTCGAGCCCTGTCCCCCCTGCTGTCAGCCCCATCACCTTTAATGACTGCCAACTTCTCTTCTCAGGAATTCACACCTCTCATCTCGCAGCCATTAGCCTCCCCCTTCATTCCAGGAAACTTTGGCCCTATTTACACGGACACAATGGGGGGAAATGTAGTTTTTTTTGTATGTTAATTAGAGGAAAAGATCCGCGTTGACACGGTCGGATTTTGTGTTTACATGCATCCGCAGGAATCCTCCCCGCCCTCCCGAATCTGCTGTAGTTACCATGGCAGGTCATTAGATGGCGCTGTGAATTTTGTACCTTCACCTAATGCGCATGCGTGCTGCCTCGGCATGCTCTTTTCCTCTGGGCTAAAAGCTCAGCTAACAACAAGTTAACAACAAGTTAAAGCTGGATTTTGGATAAGAGTCGACAGATTTGACGCCAAGCAGGACCGCTTCGTCTAACAGCTCCACACCGGTCGCTGAGTGGACCAGAACCAAATCGATGATGACTGGATGGACTTTACTCCATGATAATCAGTAGCTGATTTACTACAGATAAATCAAATGTTCTTAATAATGTTAGCTTGTGTTTACATCGATTACAAAACAACCAACTGAGTTTTTATTTTTTCCTGAAAGAAGAAGCTGTCCTTCCACCAGGTGGACCAGAACGAGGCTCGGCCTAGGTGCAGTGCAGGAGGACGTCAAAAAGAGAGATGTTGGATGAACTATTTATTTTAAATTCCCATCATTTCTTTTATTCAATCCATTCAATATTTTAAGCTGCATTAATCAAAGGAGTGACAGCCTGAACGAGCCAGATGGACAACGGGAGACCAGATTCCAGGATGAAAACAGAGCAGAGTCCAGTTCGTTAATGTAGTTTACAGTTAACTTGCTTTTAATAGTATATTCAGTTTAATTATCAGTGTTTGTGTGACATACAGTTTGTGGTGTTGAATTAATAAATAAAATAAAAATTAAACCTGATGTCTTCATTTTCAACGTTAATAACGTGCAATATGTTTAGCATCATTTTAATCACATAATTTGAATTACATAGTGTCCAGATAGCTTCATTATATATCTCAAACTTAAGACAAATACTGTTTATTATTATTAAACTGTTATTATTTAGCCCATTTAGATGTTATAGTGCAGCACGACGTGTGTGCGTCCCTCGTTCTATAAACAGCAACATTAGAACTGGATCCGACTGTGTCTCTTCCAACACAGATGTCGGTCACAGCACCTATAATCTGACGTAGATTAACTACGAGATTAAAAACATATTCCATCAATCATAGTTCAGAAAGCAGTGTATCCGCAGCCATGTTGATAGAAATATAGCGTCTGTCCGCACGTGCCTGTGCACATGTGGTTTAACACAAAGCCTCAGCAGGAGATGTTTACATTATCAGTGGGCGGTCAGCGAAAAACCTCGACTCTGGAAGGTGGGTTCAGAAACTTCCGAATT